GGCGGGGCATCCTCCTACCTGGCTTGGGTGGCTCCTGGCCGCCAGCACCCGCCCCCAGGTTTTCCGGCCCTCGAGGAGCAGGGGTGGACACACCCTCCGGGACGGACGGCCTGCTCCCGGGGACAGCCCAGCGGCCTCATGCAGAGCGGGGGCTGACCTGAGCCACACCGGCCGCAGGCCCCAGGCTCGGCCTGATGGCTGCAGCTGGCCGCCGGTCCGGCAGTCAGCCAGCTTGGCCAGGCCAGGCGGTGGGGACAGGCTGCCCTGCTCAGCCCCTGCTGGACGGGGACCTCGCCTCCCGCCCCGCCGTCCCCCGCAAGGGCCTGCGGGACAGCCCTGGCCAGGGCCGAGCAGGCCGGCAGCGCCGGCCCCCGAGCTGGCGTCCCCTGGCGCCCAACACTACCTGATCTGCCGTGGGGCCCAGGGCTCCGAGCTGCAGGTGGCGGCTGTACCCCGCATCACCGAACCCGCGTGCACCCCACCTGCACCCATCCGAGGCCACTCGGGGTCAGGCCGCGCCCCGGGAGCTGCACCCTGCTGGTCCTCCGCGTCATGCCAGGGCGGTGGTGCTGCCAGCCCGCGAAGTGGGGTGTCGACCATGCGGCCTGCAGACACTGGCCTATGGCCCCGCCCCTCCTGGCCAAGTCTCCTTATCTGGACACGTGGCACTGAGCGCACCGACATGATCGCCAGGCCCCCAAACCACCCAGAAGCAGCCCCGAGCCCAGGGGTGCCTGCGGAGGGCAGGGACATGGGCGCTCTGGCCGCTGCCCCCCTGCTCCCCAGGAAGACAGACGGGGTTCCGCAGTGGCCTGGCAACTCGCCCCGAGGCCAGGCAGGGCAACATCAGATGAAGGGAGGCAAATCAGTATCCAAGCCGCCCCCCGGCGCCCCCACAAGCAGGAGATATGGTAACTCGGGCTCCTGTCGGCCCGCGGGCACCCCCCAACCCCTGTATCCCAGCAGCGGCCACTCCGAGAGGCGCCCCGGCCCCGGCAGGAGGCCGCTGGAGACTGTGACGAGGACGAGGGGAGTCTCAGGCCTGCCGGCTCGGCCTTTCGGGGCAGGGTCCAGGCTGACCATGCTGCACCCTGGAGCAAGGGCCGGCGCGGGAGGCCGGGGTGGAGCCAGGGCTGCAGCCGCGCTGGCTCACCGCGGGCGTGGGACGCCCCTGGCCTCGCGCTGCAGCTCGGGGTGCTGAGCCCACGCTGTGCACAGGGCTTAGGGTCGGGGCACGGCACTCGGCCCAGGCCGACCACGACGGCGCCCGAGACCCCGTAGCTCTCGCACTGGAGGTGAAGAGCGTTTATTGCCAGGCGGCCCTGCTGGGAGGCGGGGGGACAGGAAACACACCCCGCGTGGCCCGGCCTTTACCTCGCCCCTGCCCAACCCTCCTGGGTCCCTCCAGTGTCCGGCCCCTGCAGGCCCACCCTCACCTGCTCGCCTCCGGCCCGCAGCTGCGGCCTGAAGCTCGTCTGGGGCATCCATGCCCGCGGGCCGGTCGCCCCCGTGCGGGCCGAGGGTCGCTGTGGGCACCTGTCGGCCGCCGCAACGGCCAGGCACGCCCCACGCACGCGCCCGGCCGGCTGCAGGAGGCCCAGCGTGTGTCCAGTCTCTGGCCGCCCCCCGACGTGCAGGCGCAGCGCGCGTCAAGAGACGTTTCCACTGCGAGCGGCTGCGGCCAGCAGGAAGCGGCAGGGTGGGCGCTATTTGCCCCTTCTGGCCTTGGCGGTCTTCTCCCTCCTTCTCTTCACGTGTTTGGGGACCTTGCTCTTCCTCCGCTCCCTCTGGGCTTCCTTGGCCATCTTCTTCCTCTCCTGCGGCGGACAGAAGGCCCTGCTCGCTGGGGCCCCGGCACCACGGGGCAGGGCAGGCGCGGGGGGCCGGGAGTGTGGGTGGACAGCTGGGGCCACCCTGGCTCGGGGCCGGGGGTGTCCCGAGGTGGCTGCCGCCCAGGCAGTCCGCACCCCGATACCGAGGCCGGGAGCGAGGACCCGCCACCGGCGACCGCCCTGCCGCGTGTCGCGGGCGGACAGCCACGGGCGGGGTGGCCGGCGCTTTGGGACAGCCCGGGGCGGGCCCGAGGGCCCTGTGGCCAAACCAGCCGGCCAGTCTGCGCGGGGAGGGCGAAGCCGAGGGGCTCCTGCAGCTCCCGCCAGGGCGCTCAGCCCCGGGAATTGGCCTGTGGGGTGCTCTGGTCACTGTTGGTGGGCGCGGACTGACCTTCCTGTCCAGCGTGGGGCCCGCGGGCTGCTCCTGCCCTGCGACATCGCTGTCGGAGGTCCCGGCGCTGCTGGCGTCCTCCGACTCGGAGGCGGGCTGCGGCACGACACGCCCCTCCAGGAGCGCCGGCACCTGGGCACAGGCCGCGTCACCCGGGCCCAGCGCCCGGCGGCCGGCACAGAAGCCTCGGGCACGACGGCCGGGCCCACCCGGCACGCAGTCAAGCCGGGGTGAAGCCCTGGCCGCTGCAGCTGGTCCCCGCCGACCCAGGCCAGCTCCAAAGGGGAAGGCGTGGCCACAGCGGCCCCCCACCGCCCAGGTCATTTACTCAGCAGCAGGGGCAGATTTTTCAAGAGGAAAAAAAATCCACGACAGGCCCCTTCCCGAGGCGGCCTGGCCTCGACAACCCCCACCGCCACCAGGGCCGCGGCACCACCCGTGCGGCTGCCCACTCTCCAAGCCGCGGGGTGCCCGCGGGGATGGTCGCCCCGACGCTGCGCGTGTCCCCGAGGGCTTGGAAACGAGCGCGACTCGGTGTAGGACGTGCCCGGGGGCGGGTCTCCGCAGCACGCTCGGGCGGGCCGGCCAGCATGTCCAGACGACCAGGCGCAGGGGGACGCAGACACCACTGCCACGGATGTGCCGGACAACACAGAGGCTCCTGGGTGCCCCGGGACCGTGGGGCCCCGCCCAGGTTCGCTGCACACGGGCGTCCTCACCTCCTGGACGCCGGACAGGTCCTTCTTCAGCCCGGTGACCGTCTGGTAGAGAATCTTTTAACAACAGGAAGTCAAAGTCAGCATCGCCAGGCGGTGGGCGCGGCTGGTGCCGCCCAGGGTGCAGCACCGGGGGACAGACAGCCCGGCCAGGGCAGAGCCCTCCTCCAAGCGCCCGCGCCGCCTCGGGGTAACGCCCCACACCCCAAGCTCTCCGCACAGGCCGGTCCCACCATCCCAGGGAACGCCGCTGCGCCCCAAAGCGCACACGGAAGCCAGCCGATGAGAGCGAGGGACCACCACGCCCGGCTGCCCACCCCCCCCGGCTCACACTGTCCTGCTGGGCGCTCACGGCCACGTCGTCCTCCTTCAGCCTCTGCATCACGTCCAGGTCCCGCTCGTAGCGCGTGACCTCAGTCAGGGTCCGAGGGATGTAGGCACGCTTGAATACCTGCGGTGGCGAGGGCAGCGTGACGCCTCCCCGGCTCCCACGGCTCCTCGGTGGCCTTGCCTGCCCCACGCCCCCCGGCCGGGGACCCGGTGACCATCCGCCCCGCAGAACTCCCGAGGGCCCCCGGTGCGGCGGCCGAGCTCCAGCACTCGGGGCGTGCGTGCACAGGGGAGCAGCCTGGGACAGAGACCCCAACCCCCAGGGCTGCCCCAGCCCCTGGTGTCGCCACGGCACTCAGGTCTCCAGCAAATCGCACGTGCAAGCGCAAACCCTGCTGCTCCGTCCTGAACCGGGGCGGCGAGCGGCGGGGGTTGGCACGGGCTGGCACGCGGGCGCAGCTGCCCACGCCCCGCCCCGGCCAGCGGGACAGCCGACCCACCTCCTCGTCCACCTGGTCCTGGCTGGACCGCTCCGCCTCGCTCCTCTGGGCTGCTATCGCCATGGCCTGCAGAGGGACAAGCACCGGCCGCCTTCACTACTGGGGCGGGGCACATGGCCACACCCCGGCTGTCCCTGCTCCAGGCACCCCAGAGGCGGCCGGCCCCCAGAACGACGGGCGGAAATCTCACCCAGGCGGGGCCCGCACCCTCCTGGAGAGCATCCCCGCTTGACTTATCCCAAGTAACCAGCAGGGAGGCTTGGGAAAGACCCAGGGCACAGCGCTCCCCAGCCCTGACAAAGAGCCAGAGGGCTGCGCACCCCCCGCAGGGGTCCCACCCACACAAGCCAGAGACGGCGGGGCAGGCTGTCACCTTCCACTGGGGCCCGAGTCCACCCCCGGCCAGGGAGGGGCCCCAGGGAGAAGAGCCCATGTCCCCGCTGCCCCCTCGGCAGTGGGTCTCAGGGGACCCCGTTCTGCTGCCCGCAGTCTCTGGAGAGTCACATCACCCCCACGCCTACACACTGCACACCGGCTCTTGTGTGCGTAAGTGAAAACCTCAGCATCGAACAACTCTGTAAGCCAGAACAGCGTAGCAGGGTCCCGCCCTGGCGCCCAGGTCCGACGCCACAGCAAGCACCGGGCCGGGACACGCCGTGTGGGACGGGGGCGGGCGCGGG